ACAGCAGAGGAGAAACATAGGTAGGCAAGAACTGCAATGGACAAGACCATCAACACGGAAATAACTCCCTTTGAAATAGTTTCATCTTCCTCAAATTTTCATGTCATCGATGCAATCCAGGAAATTGAAGGATTTCTGATCATCAAGACCACATACTTCAGAAAGGAAACCAGGATGATGAATGAATGAATAAACCTTTATAAAGGCTCAGGGTGGTCAGGTGCACACGGCATCTGTTATCAATGGGAGCCTTGAGAAGACGCTGGAAGACCTTGCAAAGCTGCATGTTGTGCTCATGCACAGTGCTGCCTCGTCAAACGAAAGACACTGGCGTYGAAAAATTACTTTGGATTCGAAATCAATGAAAGTGTCTTAATGAACCTAAGACCCGATTGACTTGCTAAAGTCCATGTTTGCATTTAATATACCTTTGAGCTTATGGTCTACGTGTTCTTCTACGTGTTCAAGTCCGCATTTCGATATTTCTCATATTTTTCTAACGTTCTCCTTTCAGAAATAATGTGACAAGTTTTACTATAATCAAGAAAAAAGGAAAATTTCACAAAACCTTGGCCATAGATGAAGCAACCAAGTCCATCAAAGATGGCAACAGTATTGTATTTCTAACTGATCTTCATCTCACTGCACCTCATGATATTTTTGAGAGTGTCAGAAAAGTAAGTTGGATGCTGTGCTAATACATCTAAAGAAAATTTGTTTCTAAGAATTCACTGTGAAATGAAAAAACAACGAAAATGAAAGTTACTCCCTGGTGGTTTGCATTGGGTGGAAACGTTTAGATCTATTGTTACCCATTCTTCCGTTAATTCCATGGGTGGATCCGGGCATTTCTTCAAGGAAGAGTGCTGGTCATTCTAAAAGGGGTGGACACTAGCAAAACAGGAGCTAAGGAGGCACAAAACATAGGGGAAGTATCAAAGTGCAAATGGTCTTAGGGTGGGTGGTACCCCCTCCCCCACCCACCTGCATCCACCAATGATCATGACTTAGTTTGTTGGGTAAGACGTTAGTGTCATCCACCATAATGTGCCAGTTGATTTGTTAATAAGCAATTGTTATCATAATCATCCATGAAATACCTATATTTCTCCATTTCGTAAAGTTTTTAATTTCACTAGTGAAATATCCTCTATGTCATCCACCATAATGTTGTAATGTGCTGGTTGATTTGGCAATAATTTCAACATTTTTTATACTTATTTTCACAGCACACTATTAAAGGATTGATGGCTTTTACACCTTTTACGTTTCGTTTATCACATTGTTCTCGGCCACCGACHGAACAGTCTCCAATTGTTAATGGTCACTGGGAGACCGGAGGTTTTGGGATATTCAGTAAGTAAACAATTTTAASCTTACWTTATTATAAAGAGTTTTTCATAAGCACATAACAGGGTCCGTGCAGAATATCAAAAACGAAATTTAAGGTMTTTTCCAGGACCAAAATTGTATTTTCAAGGAGCATCAAAATCATGGTAATTGTACATTCTTACCTCARAACTTCAGCCGAAYGGAATAATTCAGAGATCGCTAGCGCTTCGTGATAGAGATCCATCTTTTTCAAGGAGTTTCCAAGGACTTTTTCGAAATTTTCAAGTTTTCAAGGAGTTTGAAGTGCCCTTGAAAACGAGTTTTCAATTCAAGCACTTTTCAAGGATTTAAGGACCTGCACGGACCGTGACATAAAACAGTAACTCAAAGCGTGTTAACAACCTGCAATGAATCGAAGTAGTCAATGGAATACGAAAAAAACAAAGTGCTATAAATATTGCGTAATACCATACAGATTTCATTCTGTGGGAATACTAAAGGTTCGTGGCATGTAATATTTTTTACTCGTAATCCTGCTTTTTGATCAAAATTTTAATCTCTAATCCAAAACTTTTGTTCAAATTTGATCCCTGATCCAACAAAATAAGTGATCCCATGCATTTCTATTGGAAGATTTTTCAGGGCAAACCCAATGCTTGAGATTCCGATCCCAAAGCAAAAATTCTGATCCCTGATCCCCAAACGCTGATCCCTGATCGCATGTAACGACCCTGAATACTAACCATATACTTTGTTTTAGGTACCTACAAGAGTGACTGGGACAACTTTGGAGGAGTAAATGTGAAGGAATACAAACACAAATGGGGAGGGGAAGACTGGGAAATGGTAGACAGRGTCTTGGCGAAAGGAATTGAAATAGAACTACAAAGGCTACCAAATTTCTACCATTTTTACCATGACAAACAGGGAATGTGGCAAGAAGCTCGTTAATCTTAAAAATATATTGGTAGATATATAAGAGACTACACTTAGGTTCAGTATTTGATGGTGAGATTGTGCAGTATTGACAAATATAACTTTCCATATTGTTAAGCCACAAAAAAGGATGGATTGCCACACTTTAAACTGAACTTTACGATCTTAGAGCCTTCTACACTTGCTTTGTGGACCATCGCTTGTGTAAGTGACGTGATAAAAATGGCATATGAAGTCTATAACCGGGCAAACGTCCTAGAGATGTGCCTTCTTCACAATGAACTTCATGTATATCTCAATATCGCTCATTACTTAAATATGTTTTTAATATCTGTATTTAAGAACTTCGAAGTTGTGTACGYGAATGTATTCATTTAGAAACGATTAAGTTCTTGACTCGCAGCTAGATTTGATGGGTAGCGGTTGTTTACCAGGAGGCTTTACGCGTCCCTACGATCATTTTGAATTATGTTATACTCACACCAARGAATTAATTAATAAATTAAATGACGTGCTACTGAAAATACTTAACAAAGTCAGGAACACATAATGASAATAAAAACTGATCCTTACTCTCTTTCCGTGAACATGCGTACTGTAGCACTGAATCACAGGTGGCAGCTGCTAGTCCCCAGGATCCACTCGTCCTCTTCAGAACTCCACAATTTCTGGTCGTGTGCACATCTGTTATAGAGGAAGTGATATCATCAGGTACCTTTAGTTGATTGACCCAAAGCCATTTGTAAGTATGCTCTGCTGGAGACGCCCCGATGTAATACTCGCTATATTGATATTGATATCGTAATTTGTCGATATATTTGGTCACTGCCTGGAATTTAGTTACTGTTTGCATTCTAATCGCTGTGCCTCCAACTTTAGCACAATGGTTAATCGACCACAGTCCCATACGCGTTCTTTCAGGGAWGTAAACACATGTTTCTCCTACTGCTGTCCATCCAGGAGAACATAGGGAGGTAGCTGTATATGTGTAAGARTAGTAATAATAATAATCAGTATGTGAAGTATTACACATTTTGGAAAAAAAGATAAAGGTCGAATGATAATAAAAATGGTGGGAACTAGCGGTAAAGTGTGAGCTGCGTCGGTGTTTCTAAAGAAACAGTTGTGTAAAAAGATAATTTAAACACCGTAAAAAAGTAGGTGAAATAACTTACTGACGTTTCGGATGTTAATCCTTCGCTCTTTATATTACTCCGACGAAGGATTAACGTCCGAAACGTCAGTAAGTTATTTCACCTACTTTTTTAACGGTGTTTAATTTATCTTTTTACACAACTGTTCGAATAATAATAGAGTGGCTAGTGTGAAAATGTCATCAGCGGTTACTACCTGTACTGTTAGTGTTACTGTTACTATTATGCATATCGTTAATTGAAGAAGCGAAAGCCAGCCTAGTTTGGCACATTATTACAGATTTACGTATAAAAAGCAAGCATTTCGGGGTTCAATTCCAAATATTAAAATATTTGCATCTCATTACTTCAATTCAATTAAATATTGATGTAATAGTTACGAACGCTCTGTTTGGTCCAAAATCACAATATGATTGATGATGATGATGATGATGATGATGATATGAAGATGATAACAAACATGATGTTGATGTTGATGTCGGTAGGCATGATGATAATGATGACGATGGAGATGATGATGATGATGGTCATGATGATGATACAGTGACCATGGCAATGGAGACCATAAGATTGATGATGATGATAATAATAATTATAGACACGACGACGCGATGATAGCATGCTCGCGATGATGATATTGACAACAATACAAGCATGATACGAGAAAGCCTAAATACTAACCTATTATTGATAGTCTTGCATAAAAGAAACCCTCGACGATGTCACCACAACACAAATCATTCCGCTTCTCCAAACCAAATCCCCGAGACACAGTTCCATTTTTCCGATTAAGAAGAAGAACCTTCGACTCATTAGCACCGCGGATAAGCGAGGAGGCGTAAAAGAATTCAAAAGGATAACACTGACTTAGTATTGCTGGCAACTCAGTTGACAGGGAATTMAAAGAGCATTCGGRAGGATAGGCGAAATACATCTTGTCAGTTTCGTGCCTTTTTACTTGAAAGGCGAGGAAAGAGAACTGRTAGTCCCACAATCCCATAGCAATTCCACCATACGGAGCTATTTTAAACTTGTCTTCATCATCTCTGAAATATACGTGGAGCCAYGTTGATGCTGYAGAAGAAATCACAATGATTAAATTTGCGTACCGCATGCGCGATTTACTACATACAACTAAATAGCACTATTTAGTTTGTACAGTTGCACGCGGTTTTTTTGCGATCACTCTACGCAAATCAAATTGAATTGATACAAATGAAGCATTCGATAGAGTGATCGCAACTGCACAAACTAAATAGTGATGTTTAGGTGTATTT